GGGGGGGGGGGAAGGTTTTTGTAGGGTGAGCTTTGGTTTGCAAAATTCTGTCTGGCTCAAAGCAAATCTCTTCTCCGTGAAAGTGCTCAAATGCGGTAGACACCCTGACACCGCTCAAGGGTCTGTACGCAATTTACTCACAGAACCGAAGCTCACCTCATGAAACACTGAAACAACACAGCCCACTTTATGTGGACAGAGGGAGTTCTGGTGAGTCTGTAGAGAATTGTTCTACTCCAGAGATGATACCTCTCTGAGGGTTCAAATCCACCAGGGTCTATGTGGGGGAAGGTGAGCAATCTCCTCCTGTGTGATTTACTGCCTCTTGAGAACCCACTAGGGGGTCAGCTTTGAGTCGGTTCTGATTCAGTGAGTGGCATAGAATTGGGATCTTTCATTCTTTTGTTTGTGCATTGCTACACTTCAGGCGTCAACAGAACCCTGTGTTGAGGTCACCACTGTCCACATCGGTTACTGTATTGTCCAGATTTGTCTTAGCCTCAGCTGGTGGTCTCTGCTGGGTCCTTAAAAACGTGGATTTTTGTCCATGTCATCTGTTGCTACAGCTCAAGGATGATTCCCATTGGGCTCCAATGGAGCTCCTGGCTTAATTGAGGCACACAGATCTCAGGGGTTTGTGTGCGTCTTCGTTTTCCTTTTCTTCTTCTACCTCTTCTTTTTTCTCCCTCTTCTATAAAGCTTGGCGAGGAAACATGGTCGTTGGCTGGTGCTGCATTCACATCTCCTCCTTTGCTTTTATACAGACTCCAGGCCCACAGTAGAGACACTAGGACCCACCATGAAGAGTGAGGAGACAACCACCCCATATCCCATAGACGAGGAGGCCACGGAGTGTGGGGAGAACTGCAGCTTTGAGGATGGTAAGGCTGGTATAAGAGTGATAGTTCAACAGCAGGGACATGGGTGCTGAGCAGACAGAATGAAGGCCGGCCTGTGACTGGGCCAGAGCTCATGGGGGACTGGGAGAAGGGGGTTAGAAAAAGGTGGATACTCAAGGGCTTGGCATCATGGCTATTTCTAGTTAACAATGAGCTGACCAATGAGCACGATGCATCAAAGTGTGTGTGAGTAGATCTGCCCCATAGGCTCTCCAGTGCTGACTTTTCAGAAGTAAGTAGATGGCCCAGCTTTCCTTCTGAAGGGTTTCTGGGTAGACTCGAACCTGGAATCTTTTTATTGGCAGCTCAGCCTCTGCCTCATGGCAACACCACACACAGCAGAATGAGATGCTGCCCAATGCGGCAGCATCCTCGTGGTCTCTTGTGATCCATAAGGTTTTCGGGGGTTGATTTTCTGGCATAGATTGCCAGGCCTTTCTTCTTCACCCAGCTTAGTCTTGAAGTTCTGATGTAACCTTGTTCAGTGTCATAGCAACGTGCAATCCTCCTGGCAGATGGGTGGGAGCTCTGCTTGAGGTGCCTCGGGCCAAGAATGGAACCCGGTTCTCCTGTGTGGAAGATGGGACTTGTACCACGGGAACACTGGAGGTGCTATAAATCTGATCCACCAGGGCTTCTGGTGCAAACTCAACGATCATGAGCTGAGAGGAGGACTCATTGAAAGAGATCCGTACTTTTGAGACTCTGTTCTAAACCCTCACTACTTTGTTTCCCCTATGAAAGGAACGCCATGCTTAGCCTTCAAATTCACAGTCAGGGTGTTTCCTGCTCAGCTGTGTCCCCAGGTGGTGAAGGGTCATCTGGGTGATGGAGTCCAATTGATGAAACCCAAGCCAGTTGCTAAAAACAAGAACAGTAAATATGTTAATGATAGTACCTGCTGTAAGCTAGTTGGTTCCAATCCATAGCGACCCTACAGGACAGAATAGAACTGGTTGCTCAGGTTGCCAGGGCTGTGAATCCCTGGAAGCTGACCCCACATCTTTTCTCGCATGGAATCAAACTGTCATTGGGTTCAAACTGCCACGCTTTTTAGTCAGCAGTCAAGTGCTTTCATCACTGTGCCACTACAGTAGTTTGTGGCTTGAAGACTTAGTGCAGCAGGTCACTATTACTTCACCACCTTGCCCTGTCTCCTCCACCCCCATAGGGTAGAGGATCTGGTGCATCCTGTCTGCTGTGTGGTGAGTGCGGGTCGGAAGAAAAGGCTGAAACGGGAAAGTCACCCTCAGCTGCCTCTTTGAAATGAAGGCACGCTTGTCTCTGGATCCATCCCTTCACGTGGGAAACCGCTGTTCTTTGTCCTCTGAGCATCTCCAAGTCAGATGAAAGCCAATAATTGGCAGAGCCCAGAAGTCAGTCACATTTTAAATCATATCGCTCAGGTCACTGAGGATGAGGCCGTTCTTCCTAAGACCACAAATTCTGGAACACCTGGCATTTTTGGCTTGGACTTAAATCTTGACAGCCTCAAATTTATTGAAAATTACTGATTATTAAATGTTCATTAAGGAAAATGAGGGGAGATTGGCAGCGAGACCGGGGAAGTGGTGGAGACATGAAGACGTAGCCTCAGCTCAGGTGGTGGATGGTGACATGCGTCAACCCGGCCTGCTGGCTCAGACGCTTGACAGGCCGGAGCTCAGCACTGACGGACTGGACGTCTCCAAGATGTGGCTGCAAGGCGGAGCGGGAGGACAGCCAAAAATAAATGCTGAAGTTGTGTGACTGAAAAAATGATAATTTAATGCATATGCTTCTGGGAATGTGCTTTTGTGTATTGTGTGGGTGGGGTTAGTGGGGAGATTCGATTGGTCAGGGTAAGTTGCATGCAGAATTCTGACATTTTAATGAACTTGGTTTTGTTTTATGAAGAGAAGGAGACTTGGAGAATCTTCCAAGGCATGTTTAAGATAGCTTGGGAGCCCAAAGCAGAAGGCACAGGGAGTTAATATATGGTGTTGGGTTAGCAGAGTTAGCCTGTTGAGGGTTGGGGTGTGGGCTTCTCTCAAATGACAATCTAGAGAAAAATTTAAGAGCCTGCTGCAAAATTTCAGAAGTTTATTTTTAATATAATTGCCCCGTTTTTAGTGGTTTTCTTTCACTTGAGGTTTCTTTGGCAGTTCCTCCCTGCTCTCTTTTCAAAAAAGGGCTTTCTGTGGAATTTGGTTCCTGAGATACAGCCTGCCTGTAAACATTGGGAAGGAATTATGGTATATTGAATTACTCCATATTTTTGAGCGGAAAAATAGAAATTCAGAAATTGTAGGGAGGAGGAATGGTGAGGGTGAAGGCTTGACTTTTCCAAGCCACAGGTTGCTGCTGCTGCTGCTGTAATGGATTCCATGTGTTTCTTCCTGATGAAAGCTGACTTTGGCTAAGGGTGGGCAAATGTTCCAGAGTTTCTGTTGGGTAAGAGGGGGCAGTACAGACAGGGCCTGGCAATAAGCTGGCTCCTGCCACCAAGGCCGGTGGTGTCCTGACCCGTCAGGAGCCTTCTCTCCCCAAGGGTGAGCCATTTGTTCTGCCAGTCATCTGTTCCCTGTCAGTGTCCCCAGGCCTGCATTCTAGGCCTTTCCCCATGGACATTCCTCTCTGAGAACCCTGGGAAGGGACATGAAATAGCAGAGACCCCACTTCCTCTCTGCTACCAGCATCCGCCAACGCTTTGCTGCTGTCTGACAACCACTTCAAGCAAGCTTCTAGATTTGGGGTTCCCATTTTCTTTCTTTCCTGGGATTCCCCTTACATTCCCACTTAATCACATGTTGGACATCAGTTTTTACTGGATTATTAGCTGGATGGAACCTCAAAAGGAACTCTTTGGGTGCCGTCTTCTGGCTTAGGTAGGTGAAAAGCTGGAGCAGACAGGCTAAGCCATTGTGATGTTGCTGGTCGCCATCGAGTTGATTCTGACTCACTGTGGCCAACGTGTCAGAGTAGAATTGCTCCATAGCATTTCCAAGGCTGTGGCCTTTTTCAGAAGCAGATTACAAGGCACTTGTGGGGAAGTGCGAACTACTAACCTTTCAGCTAGTAATAGAACACTTAACAGTTTGAGCCACGCAGGGGTTCCAGCCAGTATGCAGCCACTTCTTAAAGATTTCCGTGGGGAAAGCATTTCCTGCTTCCCCTCGGGTCTCAACATCGACACTTAGGAGTTGTAGTTAGGTGCTGTTGAGTTGAGTCTCTGTCTCATCGTGACCCTGTGATCTGGGCGCTGGCCTATCCCCTGCCATCCTCGTCATCTCTGACTTACTTGAGCCCATTCTGTGGCCACTGTGTCAGTCCTCTCACCAAGAGTTTTCTCCTTTTCCACTGACCTTCCACCCTTTTCCAGCATGATGGCCCTTTCCAGGGAGTAGCCTCTCCTAGCGACATACCCAAAGTATGATAATCAGTGGAACGTAAAGTTAATTTCCTTTTGGTCAGGGCTAAAGTCTGTCCCCTTGGATTTGCCTCTAATGCTTGCTGCAGAAAGTCAAGGACTGCAGCCTCCAATGTGGATTGAGGCTCAATGTCAGGAAAACAAAGATTCTTACCAATCTTGGCAAAATTGGCAGCATCAGTATGGATGGTGAAGAGATTGAGATAGTTAACAGTTTTAGTTTGCTTGGTTCCACAGTCAATACTCTTGGTAGCAGCAGCCAGGAAATCAAGTGACAAATTGCATTGGGAAAGTCAGCTGTGAGGGACCTCGCAAGAGTACTGAAGAGCAATGACATCAGGCTGGAGACTAAGGTGCACCTGATCCAGGCTATAGTCTTCAAAACTATGTGCTGTGCATCAGAGAGTTGGACAGTGAATAGGGATGATAGAAGGAGAATTGATGCCTTTGAGCTGTGGTGCTGGAGAAGAGTGTTGAATATACGATGGACTGCTAAGAGAACAAACAGGTTTTTCCTGGAGAGGGTGAAGCCGGAATGCTCCTTGGAGTCAAGGATTCTGAAGCTTTGTCTGACATACTTTGGGCATGTTGCAAGAAGGGACTGGTCCTTGGAGAGGGACATCTTGTTTGGGAGAGTGCAGGGACGGCACAGGAGAGGAAGACCCTCAATGAGATGAATCGATTCTGTGAGTGAAGTGGTGGGAATGAGTGTGTTTGAGATGGCGAGGTTGGCACAGGATAGACCTGTGTTTAGGGCTCTTATACATAGGGTCGCTATGAGTCGCAGGCGACTTGATGGCACATAACAACAACAATGCCCAATTCAAGGCGGAAGGATGGATAGTCTTCGCCTATGTGATTTACATCCTTGGAAACCCAGTAGAGGTTCAGCTTTGAGGTTCTAACTGGGCAGCTGTAAGTTGAGTTGGATTGAATGCCTAATTGCCCGACTCACAATACCTCACCAGGCTTGTGCTGAGTGATCCTTGTCTTCTGAAATGAGACGTGTGACAAAGGAGTTAAGGGTAGCAAACAAGCCTGCCTTGTTTCTGAGGTCACTTTCTCCTCCCTGGCCAGGCACCTCAGCATCTCTGGGTGCTAATGAGCTGCCCCATCACTTCTAAGAGCAGGTTGGCAGGAGATGAGATAATACTTCTTGTGGGAGCCAGACTTCCACTGAGGCACTGGGGAGACATTTTTCACTGGCATTTAGGGAACAGCAATTTTCCCATTTGTCTGCTCTCCAAGGTGGACAGGAGAGACCGATTAGAGCCTGCAGCCATTTGGTGGCCTCATTTATAATTGCTGACTATGGGAACGACTGGCAGAATTGGCTTTCATGCCTGGGAAGGATGAGACCAAAGGCTGACCCGACAGCTAGCGATCGCCAAGATGGGTTAAATGAATGAGCAAAGGGACCCACTGCTTTCTCTGCTCTCCACTTAGGCCTTGCCAGCCATGTAAATAGCACCACTGTGGCTGTTCTCTGAACCCATTTCATTTGCCTTCTTTTGGGTTATTTTCTTCCCCCTCCTTTCAGACAAAGAATTACAGCTCCCTTCAGGATTCAATTGCAACTTTGATTTCCCTGAGGAAACCTGTGGTTGGATGTATGACCATGCCAAGTGGCTCAGGAGCACCTGGACCAGCAGCTCTAGCCCAGATGACCAGACATTTCCAGGTAAGCGAGCATGAGTTAAGAGATGAAAGGGTTAAGGCTAGCCCGCTCCACGTTTGTTCAGGCCCAGATTCCCTTACAGGCTTCATAATTTCCCACCACAGAGCAATTCTCTGCTCTTTGCCCACAAACCACCACGATCTTTGCTTAAGACGTCACCCCACAGAATGGCTGGTTAGTGGTTTCTAGCCCTCTCCTGTGATTAAAGCACAGCCTGGGAGCTGGGAGGGAGTGTGCAAGGCCAACTGAAGAGAAAGAAAGGAGGAACTGGAAGGTCCCAGGGGACAGGATAAGTCCATTTCTCCTGGTTCCTGTAGCCACCAGCATTTTCTACCACTGTCACAGAGCTGCTTGCTGACTCCAGGATGGGTTTGCTCTTAGCATGGCTTACTAGTAACCATTACCACTGGTAACCACTGAGACTGATTCAAGGATATTGTTGCTTATGTAGCAAAACAAATCAAGGCACCGATTTGTTGCTACATCCCTGAGTGTCAAGCATTGCTGCCAGGCACATGGCTTCTAGAAACTTGTTGGTGCTAGTCTTTGAAATACTAAGCCTACCATTTGTATTTCTGTGAGGTCTGTTGACATTGTTGGTGAAGAGGACGTGCCTTTAGCCTTTTAGCAAGTGTAAGTAAAAAATACTACTGTCTTCACTCCATGTGGAAGAGGAGGACAGTGGCAGTTGATTTGAGTGTTTGCCAATTTGTGTAAATACTCCTAACCAGATACTACCAAAGTAAATAGACTCATGGTGGCCTTGTGTGTCAGAGGACTTTGTTCTATAAGAGTTTTCAATGGCTAATTTTTTAGAGATGGATCACAATGCCTTTATTCCAAGGTGCTACTCGATATACTTGAATCTCTAACCTTTCAGTTTGCAGTCAAGTACAATAACCGTTTACATCACCCAGGGACTCCTCCTGTGATGGAGTTTGAGCTCCCCACATGAGGTAGAACTGGAGAAGAGAAAATAAAATAGATGAATGGGACCTTCTAAGAATCGAATCCCTATGCACATCCAAAAACTTCTCCAACAGAGTAAAAAGGGAAGCCACAGACTGGGAAAAAGTATTTGGTAATGACATGTCAGATAAGGGACTTATATCTAGAATTTATAAAATACTTGAGCACCACAACAATCCAGTTGAAAAATGGGCACAGGATATGAACAGACACTTCACCAAAGAAGACATTCAGATGGCCAACAAGCACATGAAGAAATGTTCAAAATCCCTAGCTCTAAGAGAGATGCAAATCAAAACAACTATGAGATATCATCTCACCCCAGTCAGAATAGCAAAATTTAACAGAACAGCAAGCAACAAATGCTGGTGAGGTTGTGGAGAAACTGGAACTCTTATTCACTGTTGGTGGGAGTGTAAAATGGTGCCACCACTGTGGAAAGTGGTATGGCGCTTTCTCAAAAAGTTGCAAATAGAGATACCACTTGAGCCAGCAATTCCACTACTGGGAATATATCCCAATGAGACCATAACTGACATCCAAGCAGATATATGCACACCCATGTTTATCGTGGCTTTGTTCACAATAGCAAGGAGTTGGAAACTACCCACATGCCCATCAACAAATGAAGGGATATAGAGAAGCTGTGGTATAGTCACACAATGGACTACTACATTGCATTGAAAAACAAGGAACTCATGCAATATTATTCAGGATGGATGACCCTGGAGGACATTCTGCTGAGTGAAATATCTCAGGTGCAAAAAGATAAATACTGCATGGTGCCACTGCTGTAAAATGACACTGATATCAGGGTTGGGGTAAGACTTAAAAAAACTGGATAAATTGCGTATACTGCATTGAAACAGATGAGGGAAAGAATAATTTAAAAGTGATAGATGATAGGGTATTATGGTTATCACAAGAGTCCACAATTAAGGTTGTATAGTGGAGTGTACTTGGGGCGGTGGGAGGGGTGCGGGGGGAATTGTATATTAAAGAAAGAATTTTATTTTTCAAAAAGAGAGTGAACTAGGGTGGGGGGAGCAGGAGGGAGGGCTGGTCAGGGAGAAAAGTGCAACAATGAATGAATGGAAATCCAAAATCTCTGTAAATGTTCATTAAAATTATTAAAATAAAATCTAAAAAAAAACGGTAGAGCTGAGAAAAGAAGTGCAGTAACACAGCCATATAGAGTTTCTGCACCGTGTAGATAAAGTAGATACAAATATAACCTCAGGAGCTGAGACACTAGTAAACTATATTAAAATAATTAGAAACTGATGAGTTTTAAGTATTTGCTACCTTTAGTTTATAATAGCATTTGTACGGAAGTTTATGTAATTTAATTTTTCAAAATGACCGTGCTTAAAATAGCTGGCTTGCAAAACTGTAGAAAATTTAGCAGTCTTCTTTTGCAAACTGGTACAGTGCATTCTGGCACACCCCTGACTAACCTTGGATTCTCCTAGAACTGGACTGTGGCCGTAGGACTCTCTAAGCACTTGAGAGGACAGAGTGAATTCTGGCAAGTAGTGGTAAATTCTGGAACTCACACTTAACAGGGCAGGGTGGTGGTGGTTGTTGTTGTTATGTGCCATCTATGGGTAGGGTGAAGAAAGGCTTAAAAAGAAACAAGAGGAATGAGAGCCCCCATTGCCCCCAGGCGTCCCAAGAGGAGCCATGCTGCCCCTCACCATGCGACAGGAAGCCTTGTCCCCAGACCCCAGAGGGGTGACAGTGGGGCTGACTCTACCAGAACTCTCTGCTAGCCCCCCTGACACTCACACACAGGCTGTCCCAGAGGGTCAGAGCGTCTGCTCCAGAGAAAAACATTTTCATATTTCAAGTGTTTATCTCTTCAGCATTTGAGTGCTCGGAGAGATTAATATCTGAAGATCACACGGCCTCGGGCAACAGGAGAGAGAACACTTCCCCTTGTCCCCGTGTAATCACCCTCCCCCTCTCGTGCACTGCAATAATGTTTAATTAATATAATGAGCCTCCTGCTTGTTGGGGGGAAAAAATACTTATTTTTATAACCCAGCCTGGATTTTTCATTTCATTTCCTCTCCTCTGAGACTTGATCCAATTAATTGGTTGTCTTTCCCCACCCCCACCTCTTATCCAAACATAGAGAAGGTTTGTGGGGTTTGAGTGTGTATAATGAAGTATTTATATATGTGTTTGAGTGTTTACATACGTACATGTTTGTGGGGGTTTGTGTGTATGCGCATATGTGTGTGCATTTGGGGCATCTATGTCTAGGTGTTTGTAAATATGTATACACATGTGTTTGCGTATGAGTATGTCCCTGGCATGTATGCATGAGGACATGTGTACGTGCAGGAAGTAGCTATAGGCAGCTTGGCAGTAGCACTTTGGATAAAAGGTATAGATGTTATTATTTCTAGCTCTTATTACTTATTTATCTTCAGGTTCTTTCTAGTAATTCCAGCCTTTGCACTATTGTAAGCAGATTTTTTTTTTTTTAAGAATGAGGACAATCCTACAAGGTCACCAATTAACAAGTGATAGTTCTGGGAGAGCTTAAGTTCCTCTCCATTTGAGCCTGGCCTTTACCTCCACCCCTTCTCTGGGTCCCCTCAGCCTCCTCCTTGGTCCTGGCTTACCCCTCACCTGAATGCATGCTCCCTCAGCTGACCCTCGCTACTGGCTGGGAATTCCAATCTTTGTCCTTGTTCCATTGGATTCATTACAGCCCGTGGTTTGGGAGGGCTTTTTCAGAGCAAGCTGGTGAAATAGGCAAAATTCCAACCTTTTTGCTGGAATGGAAGGGGACAGAAAGAAAATTAGGACCATAAGGAACTGCTAAATCTAATGTTGTTCCTCCTAAGAGATTGAGAAGGAAAAGAATTATTTTCCTCTTTCAAAAAGAATCCCCAAAGTTCGGAAAAGTGGCACTTATAACCTGCCTACAGAAAACAAAACCGTAATAGTGTTCCCTTCTTTGTATCTTCTGATGGCGTTTAAAAAGCATTTTCTACCATTCCCACTCTCCACTCCATACAAAACTGATACTGGGCTCAAAACAGAAGATAGAAAGCCCTTTATGTTCTGGGTGGTCCTTTCTTCTTAAAAAGAAAAAAAGGGAAAAAATAGGATCCGGAGGGGAGCAGTTGAGAGAAAGGAAACAGCTGTGCTTGGTTTGGGACAGGGCAAATGCTAATGGGTTCAGAGTCCATGGCTCCTTCAAGTCAAACCTGCAGACCTGACAGGCACCCACACGTGGCTGTTCCACAGAGAAGGAGCCATTCTCCTCAGAGAGAAGTGTACGGTGTGTTCTATACCCTTATTGTATGCGCCAACAGGAGTAATTCATTTTAAAAAGGGAGGTAGTCCACCAAGCGTAGAGAAGTAGAGGGAAAAGGGAAGAGAGGCAAGAACAGAGAGCAAACAGCCATGTTGAAATATCATCTACAGCCTATTTGATTAGAAGTGTCTGTGGAAACTACTTACATTCTTTAGATAGTTTCAAATTTAGTTGTTTTCACATGTTCCCCCCCCCCCTTCCTTTTCCTTTTAAGTAAGCAATTAGTTCTTTTGGCTGGTGGTAATGGTTGCTCAAGGCTGAGAAGACACCCACTGGTTTTATTCCACTGTTTTTGTTTTTCAAGATAGTCTTTCAAGCCACTCAGAATTTCTTCTTTTTTTAGCTCTTTGCTTGTGGCTTAGCTGCCTGCAGTGTGTTCATAACCAGCCCCTGGGGACCCTGCTCTGAATTCAGTGACCCCTGGTGGTTGAAAAAAGAAGCTACTTTTCCTTCTTCTCAGTACTCCAGTGACATAAAAGGTGTTCATGTTTTTTTCATAGCCCTTTGCAAGAGTCCATATATTTTCTCTAGACGATCTCAGTTGCTTTGATAAAAGAGTTTGGAAGGAAGATCCAATTCTACTCTTTAAGGAACAAAGCAAAAACTCCTTGAGGTGATATGGTAAGCACGTGTGATGAGACCTGCACTGTCTCATGGGGTAGCCACTACCTAAATACTTGCAGTTATTTAAACTAAAATG